GGGGGCCGCCCCGCGGCCCCAGGTTTCCCTAAGGATAGAAATGAAAAGCAAGATTAGCAGTACAAGTGTATATTTACCATTGAGCTCCCAAATAGTAATGAATACAAAATATTACTTGAAGCTATCGCTAAGTATCTAAACGGCCCGAATTAATTGATTAGTTGCTGACGCTGCGCTTCCCACGATTTGCATTTTGGTTGCATAAAACCAATTGGTATCGCTTACGTTGCAGGTCAATTACCTGCACTGGCTATGCGCGTGTTTGGCGAAGTGCGGCGTCAGCACATTCGCATTAATAAGTAGGTTGGCCCCCTTGTTAACTACCCCCCTTTAAACATCTGCGTCCCGCAGATGAATCGATTTTTGAAGAGGATCTTTAGTGTGGGTCGTTGGCTGATCCTGATCTGTTGCTTGATTTAGCCTAGGAAAGTTGATTGTAGTCGTAATTTATTTCCAGATGATGTAGCACACGGCTGCCAGGATTGTCAAGGCATTAGCGTCACAAATTAAGGAGAAGTGAAAATTATTGCCAAGTTGCTTTAGATGGTAAATATTTTCTATGCTGAGCCCGTGGATGTACTCCAGATTTAAATTCAGCCCATCACTTGTAACGTTAACCAAAGCGGGTGGCAAAGCCTGCACTGTGCGTACTGATCTGCTGGTGAACGTTTGATTTCCCACCAGGACCGTTTCATTATTTAGTAAAATAACGTATGTTCCGTTGAGGACCGCGGAGTAGTTCCTCCCTTTCAATGGTCCTTGAAAGTTTGTAGTAAATATTGTTGCATCGGCGATCATTTCAACAATTACGTTGTTGTCTGGTTAAAAGTGGCATTTAGCATCGCCGCCCTTCACTAATCTAGCCAGGCATCCGTCTTCAGGAAGTTTCGTTAAAGATTTGGGTGAGCAGATTGTTGTGTTGCTAATCGAAGGACAATCCTCGTTCAGTCCGAAAGTTTCTTCTTCATTTACCAGCATCTGCTTGTAATTAAGTTCAACGTGTTGTCCCCTTATGATGGCGGCGCGTGTTGTTAACTTTTGGTATTGATAATACGTATAAAAGGATACTACCGTTTGAATACACGGAAGCCGATCCGTATTCTATAGCTTCGATGGTATTTTGATATGGCAGCGAATCTTCTTCTATTAAAAGTCTTTGTACCTCGTCTCGATCAAGTAAGTTTGTGTTTATGATACCAGATTTTGCCATTTGGCACGCCTGCACGATCTCTGATACCTGTTCCTTCAGGATTAGAACTTTGCTCAAGTCCAGAAGCTCGAAATTCTCTTCGCTAATATTTTTGTTTATGGCGTTGATGTGCAGCATCATTTCATTTGCTTTCTCAATCGCCTCACGGGTAACGTTGAAGAGCTTTTCATTGACGCGGTACTGGTGGTTATTGTTTACTACGACATCGTTCATGCTACGGAGGATGTAATCCCAATCTGCTGCATCTGGAGACCCGGCGATCCACTTCCATACAGATCCTATCCAGTCAATGGAACGTCTTCTTCGTGACTTACTTATTTGCAGCTCGTCAAGTCGCAGCTTGGTTTGGTTTAGGTGGAATTGCAGCACAGTACGCACAGCTTCGCTTCTGATATCGTGCTCTGTTGACTCGATCAATTTCTCCAATGCCATATTGAAG